TTGCTTGGAAATGATAGGGACCCGTTGAAGTATCCCAAGAGATGCGCGGACTCCATCAGCAGCTCGAACTCGAAGCTCCAGGTAAAAAAGTCGTGTCCGTTGAATGGTGAGGATGTCTGCAGTTTGATCACGTGTGAAAACTGCTCCAGGAGACTCAATATCTCATTTGGTGTTTGTTGTTATGCGGCTGCTGTTGGTTGGGCACGGGGCGGCATGAACTCGAACGTCCCCGGTGAAGAGTCATAAGGCGCAATGGTAGGCGCTTGATTGTGTCGCCCGAACGATGAGTTGTCGAGGCTCATTGGTGCTAATCCCATGTTTCCTCCGTTGCTCTGTGTTGAATGTGCAGGTGTCCTTGTCTGTTGCTGCTGCTCGAAGTGCGAGATGAAGCTGAAGAACCTTTCCATAAGGTTCGGGTCCACGCTTGACGAGGGTGATGGGGTCACAATTTCTAGTGCCCTTCCTGTGTTTCTTGAGCAGCGCCGGTCTCGGTTTGCAGTCCTGAAGTGTGTAGTCCAGAGTTGCCGGTTTGTGTGTCTTGGGTATTGGGTGAGCCCGTAGAGATCTTATTGCCCTTGTTGTCCATGACTTATAATAGATGAAGATGTTGATGTGTTAACTGTGGATAGAGTGTTGTTGCTGGGAGTTTGGTCTCTGACCAGCTCTCATACCATGTTGGGCTGAGAAAAAGCCCTTAGGATCATTCAGAGACTAAGTCCCACTTGTACAAGGATGCTTGAGTAGTGCAGCGGAAGTTGAGTAGTTGAACCCTTGCACTAGTATGTGAGAGCAAGTGATTGATTAAAAGAAACAAGCATACAACAATATATAGAAAATAGGAAGTAAAACAGTTGTGGAATACAGTTGAAAGAACGGTTATCGAGTCGCACAGCGACTCGATGATCGGTTCGGTTACCACCCTTGGAGTTGAAACGGTCAGTCGCAACCGGAGGTTGCGACCCTTCGAGTCTTTCGTCTTTTCGTGTTCTTTCGTCCAACCTACTCGTGTGACCTCCGTTGACTCGCGTACTCGATATGGCTTTACTCGAGTGTAGTGTCACACTTCAGAAATGCTTAAGTCCTTGAGGTATTTCCAACATCAGGTTTGAGGGGTTTGCGTGAGGAGGAATGCCCCTATTCACTGAAGGACTTCACCGAAATTCCTGAGCTTTGCATCAGAGTCTTTTCCAGGACATCCTGACAGTTCAGGGTATGGGATCTCGCAACCCTGTTTTCGCCAGGGTAAAATTTTCGCTACACTTTTTGGATCAGTGTTGAAAAACCTGGATGTCATATTTTAAATACTAACAAGGAAAATACATGGAAAAATCGGTGCAATCAGGTTGTTTTACCCGGCTAGTGAGAGCACTGCTTCTAACATACATATGTGTGAGGACGTTTTGAAATATATGACTGTAAAACAAGACGGCTAACTGTGTCGTTGTTTAGGTATCAGCAAGAATGAACGTGGCGTGAGCCTGTACAACATGGTGTATTGTTTGTGTCTAACTATAATGTTGTGAGAAACGTCTCTTTTGGCGATCGGAGGTCTATTTTGTATGCTACACTTGCCCGATGGACTACCCCGATGGAACAGCTGGCAATATTTCCATGGTTGGGTGTAAATAACGAGAAGGTAATTTATCATGAAGGAGATGTGCCCAATTGCTATAAAGAAATGTGGCTTCCACATAGAAATGCAGATACTGTAAGTGATCCTTTGCCATACTCTTGTGTTACACAGAATCTTTGGGGTAGGGAGCAGAAGTGCGACCAAGTGCAGCAAGTGGATGGGCCCAGTGAGTTCGAAAACGTGCGAAAGCGACGGAGTGATCCTGCGCCCTAAGAAATGATGGGATGTGATGGGAACAGTCGAAAGCATTGGGTCAAGTGAGAGGAAACGACATATTTACACGCAAATCAAAATGTATCCGACAAAAATGCACCCGAATCTTTCAGCGATTTCTGTAGAATCGCCCAAACCTGACACAGTCAGCAACATGCTGGGCTATGAACTGTGTACAGTAGTTTTGCGCAGCCGACAAAACAATAAACCCATTGGGGCCCAGCACGTGACTCGGGGTGGCATCAACCCGAAACTCGAAAAAGACCGCAACTTTAGGGTTGATGCCATCTCGGATGGCATGTCCGGCCCCTCTGTGGGTTTTATATATTTGCCCAAGACGCTGCCCGAAATGTCATTGTCTAGTTTGGCCATTTCTGCCGAATTGCAGCACAACGTGTTGTGCTGGAAATTCTTGTCGTGAATGCACAACTCTACACGTCAGTCCGAAACGGTTGACTGCTCATGCGCAAGAATCTCGCCTCTCAATGGCGTGAAATATTTGGGTGCGTGATTGTCGGGTTTGTTTTTATTTGGGTGTAGATTTCTCGGGTCAAGTGAGCTTGGCCGCATGCCAAATGCCAAAAATCCGCAGCCTCTCTCGCCTCTCTTGCTCGCAAGGTGTCATGACGAGTCACGAGGACAGGTCACCACCACCACCACCACCACACGCGGCAAGCAATTCCCTTGCGTGAGATCGAGGGTTCAACGAGAACCGCTCACGCTGGGAAAGCCGAGATTCGTTTCCCTTGGACAGGACTCTTGTTAACTGGGCACGTATCTTTAATGACGAAACATTACGGGTAGTTATGCTTGGATTCTGTCTCGTAATGGATTCAGTTTTGCGGACTTTGACATGACGGGTTTTTTTCTTTTGAATCTGTCTGAATCAGTCAGGTGCTATTTTACAAGTCGGACAGCAGTCCATTCCGTGTGTGATTTTCTGCAGCCAGGGTTTAGGAACCGTAGTTGGAGAAACACCTCGTAACCTCCTCTCTCCGTTAGCCACGGAAAACGCCATGTGTATGAGGATAATAACATAGAGTTAAGGGTGGCTTTCGACGAGTCCGTTTGCTTACGGGAAAATTGCTTACAGTCCAGTCCGCAAAAGGGTAATTTTGGGACCGATTCAGTCCCCCAACGGAATCTCCTAGGTCTAGCAAGGGCCCTGCCCTTGGCTCCAGTGGAAAGAAGCTCATCCCCAAGCATAGCCAATCACGCGTATCCGAGAAGATTTTCGGATTGTTGTCGTCTGTAGCAATTCGCACCCAAGCGACACTTCACTCTCAATCCACGGGAATTCATGCGGTAGGTAAACAATCATGACCCCCCCTAACAGTCCGCTAACACGAACGCCAACTCTTTTCTCTGATTTACCGCAGCGCCACACTCCCGTAACACGGGAAGTGACTCTGCCCAGTGACAGTTTCACATGAACGCAAGCGTGATATTACCGCCCGAAAAACCTGTTTCATCTCGTTTTCCCGCGCCCGCGGTGTTTACTGTTACGAATCTCAGTCAGGTGGACTGCTGCGCCTAAAGTAAATGAAATGACGCACTCCTGCTCAACTCCGCTGCTCAAAGTCGAATAGCCGGGTGTATTAGGTTCCACCTTTCTCTCGATTTTTTTAATTAGCAACAGATCAACGAAGGTGACACCAGAACATAAATACTTACGTGTTTTTTATCCCTCCACGATAAAACTTTCCAAGATTCTTTGTGTACTTAACTTTTATAATCGATTTACTGGTCTTAATACTCACCAATGTTGCTCTTGTTAATCATCTATATATAATGAACAAAATTATATAGTAATTTCATGTATGTATATGACTCAAACCATCATAATATATTTATGCGTTTTCACAAGATCTTTTGGCATTTGAAAAATCACTTTGAAATGAAAAAACTTATTTACCATCATAATTTAGATATGTGATTTTTTAAATTAGATTATATTGTTAATCAAATATTTCGTGAGATTGTTGAAATTTGATTGTATTAATATCGATTTTGTACAGAAAATCGTTATTTGAGGATTGAACATACATATTTATTCTCTCTGGCACACTAAATGTTTTTTTTATGGTGTCACTTTTGTTCAGCTGCTGAAATCTGAGATAACGACGAGCACAGGTTTGGATACACCAATATGTTATCGGAATTCCCGTGCGTTGCAGTAGTTAGATACTTCCTCGGCTGTGGGTGCGTTGTTTCCGTTTTCACGCCAAGCAGTCTAGGGTAGGTAGTGGTTAGGGAATCATAACAGTAAATATCGCGTGCGGTGGTGTCGTCAATTTTGCTTTCGTGTGATACTGTCACCGGGCAGAGTCAAATCCCGTGTTACAGGAGTGTACCGCTGCGGTAAACCACCGGAAAAGGTTGGCGTTCGTGTTAGTGGAGTAACCTCCTGTGTTAGAGGTGGTCATGATTGTTACATTACGCATGAATTCCTTTAATTCAAAGCGAAAAGCCTATTGGTCGTGGCGCGGATGCGCTCGTTTGTTTCCCCCAACAGCCCCTCCACGGCCGAGTGGGAACAGCTGGCCCACATTGTGGAACATACAGTTGACTGCCTCGATTCCCGCCCCGTCTCCCCGCCCCCGTCCCCCTTCCCCTCCCCGCAGACACATTCCCCCCGTTCCCCAACCACCCACACCCCGTTCAGCCGTCTTTCCACCCCCTGCCCGGCAGAGTTCCGAAATGAGATGAGATGAGCAAGGTCAGATGGGGTGGAGTACGTTGCATCTGCACCTCGTTTCGGCAGCAGAAAGCAAATGAAGTCAGTAGCAGCATTCTGCCTGCCAGTGCCAAGACTTACGCGTGACTCGCAAGGGTGTGTTGGTTGGGGCTTGGAGGAATTTAGTCGCTGAACATTCAGTTGCGGAACTGGCCCCTGTCCGGACAACTGAGTGGTCACTGTTTTCGTCACTTGTCGTGACCCAAGTGCGTCAACCTTCCAGAAACTACAGTACCGTACGTGCAGTTTCCATAAACTGCTTCTTCCCGCCCATCAGAACTCCATGTTTCCGTCGGGCGTTGAGCCAGAGTGCTGCCGTCCCTTACTCTCCTCCGAGGGAGCCCCCCTCTATCCCATCCTTCATTCCCTGTAGTGTACTGTACATGTACACGACTGCTGCTCACTGCTCAGCTCATCCCTTCGCCTCTCCCACACCAAGTCACAGTGCTGCTCAGAATCACAATCACCATAAGACCCTGACCGTCATTGACTAGCCTTCACTGAAGCGGCATTTGAGTTGACGGCCGACCGACACGGGAATCTTTCTCGCCGTCACGTCGCGACGTACGAAGAATCCACGCCTTCCTCGCTGTCCTGATTATCCGCTACCCTAACTCTCGACCATACCTTCGAGCATCTAGCGTCGACTGCGCTTCTGGCATCCGATATCGAGTAGCACCTTGAGTATAATCCAATGACCGTTCTAGGAGGCCGTGTGTCAGGGAATCTAGACCGCCGGTCCCCCGATGCCGGCGGGTCGGCCGCTCTCCGTCCCCCTTCTTTCCGCCCGCCCTTCCGCCGCCCCCCGGCCCTCGACATTGTCTCGAGCTGCGACTCGATAGAGCTCGATTCAGTCCCGACACTCCTCGGAGAGGAGAGCAGCGACGAGAGCGCGGACGGGCGAAGCGGCCCGAGCGATTCTTCGACGCGCGGTTCCAGAGGCGCATTCGGCGGCGGATTCAGCCCTCTCTCCAGCATTTTGCCGGTTCGCGACTGGCTGCGTAACCGCCCGAGCGATTCTGCAACGAGCGGCGCTCCCAGCGCCGCGTTCGGCGGCGCTAGCAGCCCTCCCTCGAGACTTTTACTGACTCTCGAATCGCCGAGGAACGGCGATGCGGCGGCGGCGGCGGAAAAGGTCACCGGTGCGGGGGAAAACGCCGGCGGAAGCGCCATTGCCGCCTCGCCATCCTCCCTCGACGCGGCGGAAAGAAACCAGCGCGGGCGCAACGCCCCGGGCACTGGGAGTGGAACCGACAAGGTTCGAAACGGCGCCGCCGGTGTCGGCGCGACGCCGTCGCCCGCGGGTGAGCGGACAGCGCGGACACCGCCACATCCCCGCGGCGGCGGCAGCCCTGCTGGCAGCAGCGCGTTGGGAGCGTTCGGGAGCTTCTGCGCGGTCGACGGCGCGCGCAGCGTCGCAGCGCTTCGCGGAACCGAGCCCCTTCCGCCGGTGGCCGACGGCGCCGCCGGCTCGCGCAGCGGAAGCACGGGGATGTGGCGGAACCTGAACCGCGGGAGCAGCAGCAGCAGCGCGATCCATGTCCGGCGGAACAGCACTGGCGCTAGTAGCGGGTTCGGGGGAAGGGGAATGCTGCGCGCCAATAGCAGCAACGAGTCGCTGCGGTCGCTGGGAATCACAAACGGCGGCCTCGCCTCCCCTTCGGAGTCACGGACGCTGGGCGACTCCAGCCCAGCGTCACGGACGGAGTCACAACTTGAGAGAGCGTCGGACAGCATCAGCCTGAGCCGCACCAGCCTCTGCTCGCCGTCGCCGCAAGCTCTTCACGCGAGAGAAACCGCAACGGTGACTGGCGACGGGTCGTTCTCATTCGATGGTGGCAGTACCAGTGGCGGTACCAGTGGTGGTAGTAGCAACGCAAGCGGCAAGGGAGGCGGCAGCCCGGGCGGATGGGGTGTAGGCTCCATCTGGCGCTCCCTGCAAGCCCCCGTGTCGCCCATCTTCCGCCCCAGAAGGCACAGCGCTACCAGCAGTGCGGGTACGGCATCAAACGCCTGGGGTCATGCAAGCCCGACAAGCAAGCACAGGACCATCTGCCCATCCGCGAGCACGGGATCAAACGATTTCGGACCCAACGGCGTTGGAGTGTCGACGGATAAACCGCCCAGGCATCACCGGTGGAAGAGCGCGGATTGGAGCCTGTGGGCGGGGCCTGCTCTCTCTGCCGCCCGGCCATCCTCCGCATCTGGCCGTCGCGTGAAGTCCTTGAATCAGATCCCGCCAAACCAGACCTTGAGACGTCCCCCGTGCCTTCACATTCCCCCGTGCCCCAGCGTCCCAGAGACGTCCCTTGAGGCGCCTCCCTTGCTGCAGAGGTCCCGAACCGAGGAGTACTGCGGGGCATTGCGCGTTCCGCCTTTGCCCCATGAGGCGAAACCGGCGCCGCTTGAAGCGGCATCGCGCGTGGAAGCCACATTGAACAAAACGGCGGCGCCGCATGATGCGGCGGCGGTGTGTGATGTGGCGATGGCGTATGGTGCCGCCGCACACGAGGAGTTGAAGGGGATGCACAAGGACTACAAGCCAAGTGCAACAGTGAGGGGTTTTTCTGGGGGTAGCTTCTCCGAGGGGTGCATTCCTCTTGTGCCGGACGCTGGCAGCGTGAGGAGGCCCCACTTTGTGGCTGCCACGGAGCACCGGCTCTTCTGCGGCCTGAACGACGAGCCTCCTCGCTTCACGCGCTCTTCAACAGCCCTCTCCAACCTGCAGCACCTGCCAACGGCTCAACCTGAGCCCTCACCGAAACTGGCAGCAAGGCAACTGCCAGCACAGCAAGTGCCAGCGCAGAAATTGGCAGTGAAGAAACCAGCGGCAGCAGCAAACATGGTCGGGGCAGGAGGTGGGACGGCACGTGCCCCAGCAGCCCCCGGCTGCGACCCGCCAAAGCACGCCCTGGCTGAAACTGAACACGGGAAGACTTTGGAAGGCAAAGGCTTTCTTCGCAAGGACTTTGGAAGCTGTCCAAGGAATAACGAGCTGCTCGAAGCAGCAAGTTCCAGGCGACAGGTACAGAGGCCTCCAGGTCCACACGTGCCACGGCAAACGCATCGCAGGCGGATGAGGAGGGTGGGGTCTGAGCCGGGCTTTCAGGTGGATCGGCGCTTGGAGGCAGAGGAGGAGAGAGAGAGGAGCAGAGAGCTGGACATGGGGGGAATGACCGCGGTGCAGAGCGGTGATCTGATTGTGAGATCCCCCGATAGCGGGTGGAGTAAGGTGGGTGGGGTGGATTCTTCCAGTCCTGGACACAGAGGAGGGGTTTTGCAGCGGGCTGGGGAGCGGATGTTCTTGGCAAATGGAGGGGGCAGCAGTCACAGCTGCAGAGGAGGAATGAGCATGACGATAGGGATGAATTCTGGAACCAGAGAGGAGAACCATCAGCACTCAAGTGCAGCAGCAGCAGGAGCAGGAGCAGTCGCAGCAGCAGTGCAGAGCCACGTGGCGTATGGCAGCAACACACTGTCGAGCCCATTTCCTCTTGTGGTGCGGGACGCATGTGAATCTTCCAAGCACAACATTCCATGGGATGGCAGCAGTACGGTGACATCATCTGACGAGTTAAGGTGTGGCGAAGGTGCGACATTTCCTCGCTGCTCCTCACCATCTGCAGACTCTTCGCTGTTCCTTGCAAGCGGTGTCAGTCAGAAATGGCGCCCTGCTATGAATCACCCCCTTTTCAGCGGAAGAGCAGTTGGCGTTGAAGATTTTTTGTTCTCGCCTTGAGTTGAGAACTTGAGAGTCTTCAACCTTCATACGTTCGACCCTACATGCTTCCCATAATCATGGTCGTGCAAATTGAGATGTGCACTGAGTGTGGCTGGATATGGAAATGACATAGGGGGGCGAGCTGGTAGACGGCGATGATCTGATTGTAAATGTACGGATAATGGGTGGTATGAAGCGCCTGGATATGTGAAGCATACACGCATGTATTTAGCACCACACTTTTATCACTTCGAATGTGTGTGCTCATTCACTTCGCACAATTCGTCGACGAACAAGGGCGAGGTCGCAACAAAGCAACGCGAAGCCAGCAGAAAGTCATTGTGTTCAGAGTGCCCGACGTCGAATGAATTTACGACGTCGTGAGCTTATTTGCCTGTGAAAAAATTGCCGATGTCGTAAATGAACTTGATCTCGGGCACTCTGAACACGGTTTCAGTGCATGAGCGCCAGAGTCCCAGCACTGCTGGCGCCAGTGCAACGTCTCATGCGAACGAAAAGCGCTCGCTTGGACACTGGGTAACCAGCAACGAGGCGTACAGTAAAGTACTCCGTACTCCTACCTCCTGTACTGGGAATCAACGAGCCACGAAAATGCTCCAGCAGGGCAAAACTCGATGTCCTCTGCTGTTTATGAGGCTGTACTGGGGCGGCGAAGAACGATAAGATAGGGTTGAAAACGGTAAAGTACGTCGTAATACGGTGATACGAGGATTCAGCTGATAACCACAAACCAAGTTCTAGCAGCTAACCAGCACGAGCTTTCCGCCATGGAAATTCCGCCACTCGCTTCCCTTTGACTTGCACCCCCTGTGTTAGGATCCTCGCTAGGCCTAAGGCCACCCACCAACCCCTCGCGTCGCGCTTCCAGAGACTTGCACGACCGTACGGAACTTTTCTGCCCCGAAAGTAGAGCTCAAATGTGGATCTCACATGACGCGTCGCTCGGCGGTGGGATCATGTCAAGTGAAAAGCCATTCACTCATGGCAATCTTGTGGCTCAAGCTAGGCAATCGCTGGCTAAGACAGAGATTCCGTCCGTCCGTGCTGCCTTGGTGCTTACGGCGGTGCGATGCGACCTCGCTCTCTTACTCTCCACCCACTTCGTCTTCGGGGTCCCGCGAGCCTTTGCAGGCTGTCCTTTCCCAGATGTCAGCTGTCAGCTGTCACTGTCTGTCAGCGTTGAACGGTTCTACAATGAGATGACTCCCCTAGGGTGGGTCATCCTTCGTATACTATAACCTCTCGCTGATACGGTGCCGTCCATCACGCTAGTCGTCGGCCGACTAGTTCGATTCAGCGTCACGAAGTCTCACTCCGAGTGAGTCACCATCACAGGGTGCTACAAGGTGCCTTGTAATAGCCGGAGCTTCTAACCGTTTCTCGAACTGTACCTTGGTATCATTCTCGCACTCCTTGAAATGCCGTGCGTAGGAGGTACGTGGGGGATTCAGCCCGCCGATGCCGCTCCGCTTCCCCTTTCCCCGCTCCACTACCGCCCGCGCTTCCGGCGCCCCCCGCCCCTCGACATAGTCACGATCGATGACTGTACGAGCGATGATTCTTAGAAGAGCGCCGATTCCTGCGACGCGTTGGGCGGCGGTCGCAGCCCTCCTTCTGCCCTCTTACCGCCTGTGAGAGTCGGCGGATTGAGCTTCCAGGCAGAGCAGCTGTGCGGCGGAAACGGGCCGCTTCCTCCGGTCCGCGCCGGCCCGCGCGGCGGAAGCAAGGGGAGGCGGAACCTGAGCCGCGGGAGCAGCCGCAGCTGCAGCGCGATCCATGTCCGGCGGAACAGCACTAGCGTGGCGGGCCTTTTCTCCGAAGAAGCCGCAACGCCTGGATCTGGAGCATTCTCATTCCATGGCGGGAGCAGCACCAGAAGCAGCACCGGGAGCAGCACCGGGAGCAGCACCGGGAGCAGCACCGGGAGCAGCACTGGGAGCAGCACCGGGAGCAGCACCGGGAGCAGCACCGGGAGCAGCACCGGGAGCAGCAACGGGAGCAGCACCGGGAGCAGCAACGGGAGCAGCACCGGGAGCAGCACCGGGAGCAGCACCGGGAGCAGCGCTGGTTGCAAAGGCAGCGGCGGCAACCCTTTCGGCGGTGGCAGCCCGTGGTGGTACCAGCGTGGGATGGGCGCGAGCATGGGCGCGTGGAGTGCCACGAGCCTCTGGCGCTCCCTGCACGCTCCCGTTTCGCCCATCTTCCGACCAAGAAGGCACGACACGAGTACTGGTGTCACCTCCCCGAGCCACGGCAGCCTGGTAACCAGATCAACAACCAGCTGGGGATCCAATCGTGGGGGAATTCAAGGTGTGGGGTCCAACAGCATAGGAGCAAGCCACAAGGGTGCGACGAATAAGCCCCCCCGGCACCACCACCGGTGGAAGAGCGCGGATTGGAGCCTGTGGGCGGGTCCTGCTCTCTCTGCCGCCCGGCCGCCCTCCGCGTCTGGCCACCACAAGTCTTTGGGTAGTTCAGAAGGTTCTTCCAACCGATCGGACCTCCCAATAGACCAGCCCCCGCTGCATCATATTCCCGCGTGTCCTACAGTCCAAGAGGGGCCCCTCATGGCACCTCCGCTTATGTCAAGGTCCCGAACCGAAGACTACCGCGGTACGGCACATCAGGCTACATCGCGTGACGCCACGTCCCTTGATTCCTCTTTGCTTGAGGAGTTGAAGGGGGGGATTGCTTCTTCTAGTAGCTTCTCCGAAAGGGTCAGGCCCCACTTTGTGGCTGCCTCGGAGCACCGTGTCTTCTGCCGCATTGACGATGAATCTCTGCTTTTTGCTCACCCCCCGGCGCCACCCTCGCAGCTGTAGCACCAACCACCAAAAGAGAAGAGACTCCCCCAGGCGGCTGATGGGGTTTCACAGAGAACTGCACAAGTCCCCAGCCCGCCACGCGCACACACACCTCCAGGCCTGCACGTACCACAGGAAGCGCATGGCAGATGGATGAAGAGGGTGGGTTCGGAGCCTGCCTTTCTGGTGGATCATCGAATGGAGGCCTCGACGAGGAGGATTGAGGGACAAGGAGACAACAGAAACGGGGGCGATCGGACCTCGACGTGCCTGATTTGATCCTTAGATCTCCGGATAATGGGTGGAGCAAAGTGGGTGGGTTGAAGCCATCCTGACGTGAGCGCAGTGAGCTAGTTTCGCAGAGTGGCGGCGGTCTGATGTTTTCAGTGAATGGTGGCAGCAGTCACAGCCGCAGAGGAGGGCTGACCCTGACGGTATCAATGATTGTACGAGAGAGTGGGGGGAATTGTGGCTATAGAAGTACAGCAGCAGCAGCAGCATTGGGCAGAGAGCAGAGGCATGTGTCACCTTCAGCAATAAACGGTCGTGCCCATGTCCTCGTGCGCCTGTGGAGACAGATGGTATGGCACGGCACCAGGGTGCATGTGCTATTATGGCAAGCTCATGCTCTGACACCTTTTGCTTTGAAACCAGTGGGAGCAGAGGGAAGCAGGTGGGGTTAAAGAGTCCTGTTTTGACAACATCTGAGGATCTTCACATTTGTAAAAGTACTTCGTTCCCATGATGTTTCGCACAACCTTCGCAGTTTCTTGCAAGTGGTGCAGGCCAGAAGTGGCGCCCTGCAATGAATCACCCACTATTTATCGGTAGTAGAGCAGGGTTTGCTGAAGACGTTATATTCTCACCCCCTTGAGTGCTATTGTAATAAGGGCATGGGAGATTCCGTTCCGAACTTCTGGAACTTAACAGTCAGAACGGTACAGTAATGTTAACAACGGTATTGGCATGCCTCAATAAGGACATTGCGTGGTAGAGTGCAGGTGAAGTTAGGACAGGTTGTTTGGAACTGTATTTTCCAAGCCCTAAGCATCATTTGTGCTTGGTGATTGTTTCCTAGATTAACGAATTGGAATAACTAGAGAGAAATCTCGCTGTTCTGTACTCGTTACGAAGTTTGACCTTCGGGTAGATTTCTCAAACCCATCGCCCCCTTTCGGTACGACAGCCAATCACAGGAAGTTGCTCTTCCAGCAAGGCTTGAACTCGTGGTGGCTCGAGCAAGGCGGCGGTGCGCATCGCCTGATACTCTACCCTTGAGATCATCACGCTGGGCAATCTGTGACCACCGTCGAGATACACAAATTTCGATGGTTACGACCGTTGTCAGCCGTAGATGAACGATCAGCAGGAAATAGGCCCTTGATGTTGCACCACCATCATCCTCTTGGGTTCTCCTTCCCTTAGTTTTGGAGGTCAGTGTGTTTTTCCCGCCTTGTTGGAGCAGAATCAAGGGCCCTCCATTTCTGAGCCTTAGGAACTGCTGGAAAAAGGCATTCTCCATTCCCTTCACCTGATCAGACTTTCTTCAGTGAGAGAAGTCATTCTGTCAGTCTCTGTTGACGCTGGATACCCTACTCTAGGGAGCCAGGGTGAGCAGATCAGGCGGCCATTGTTGAATAGTTCCTAGGGCGCAAGCCCTTTGCGTTGTGCGAAGATGGTGCTCGGTCTTCGTACGGCGTATGGCGTGATCCAGGATATGCAATGTCTGTCGTCAATGTGGTTCAAGAAGATCAAGGGGAACACGCACAAAGATCGCCTCGAGTCCTTCTACAGCCCACAAGCGCACGCCTGTAAGTCTCTTAGGGTCCCAATCTGGTCTTACTCGAGATCTCATACTATGTCAGGCAATGGAAACGCTTCCTAATTCTTGACAATGAAGATTGTGGAGTCACTTTTCCTACATGATCAATGCACTAAGATCCGACCGTTTCGGGCAACGGCTTCTCCAATCGCGTAATAGCGTCGGTTCAAGGATTACAACGAACCAGCTTTCACTTAAACTAAGGGTCTCCCCGTGACCTCTGCTACCCTCTCCCCCGCAGATGACAGATTCCGTGCCAACTTCCTCCACGCGCGCCGGCCAATGCTGGCGGCGTGCGCGGCGCGTCTGCGCGGATCCACCGGCATGGTGTGGGTGGATCTGGGCGGCGGAACCGCGGAGAACGTGGATCTGATGGCGGAGTTCATCGATCTCGCCGCATTCGACAAGATCTACGTGGTCGACATCACGCCGTCGCTGTGCCGCGTGGCGGAGCAGAAGGTCAAGCAACGCGGGTGGACCAACGTCGTGATCGTCGAGGGCGACGCGTGCGCGTTCGTGCCGCCGGAAAAGGCGACCCTCGTCACCTTCTCCTACTCGCTCTCCAGTACGTGAATCGGATCCTCTCGGACTGCGCGTGTCTGCTCACCATTGGCGCAGACTTTTCATCGTGCCCCAAATGTCCTGCTTTCCTGATTTTTTTAGTACTTTTTTTCGCGCCACCTTTGCAGTGATCCCGCCTTTCATGGACGCCGTCGATTCCGCAACCGGCTACATGGAGGAGGACGGCATCATGGGCGTGGCGGACTTCTTCACCTCCGCCAAGTTCGACCTGCCCAACCGGCAGCACACGTATAACCAGCGCATGTTCTGGCGCTCCTGCTTCGACCTCGACGGGATTGATCTTTCGCCCGAGCGGCGGCAGTACCTGGAGCATAAGCTGGAGACCGGTGAGGGGACAGCGGATGATGGAAGCGGGACGGGAATGGCTGGAGAAAGAAAGGAGTGAACGGGGGAAAAAGAGCTACAGATGGGAGGCGGAGAATGCTGGGGAGCAAACAGGAGGAGAGAGCGATGATAGCATTTTAAAAGAGAGAAACAGGAATTCAGTCGTTGGGAATGGAGAGTGGTGATTCGTTGTGAGTGCGGTCGCGTAAGTAGCCAAGTTCTCGGTGAATAGCCCTCCATTCCTGCCCGTCTCCATTCCTTCCTTAATTTTGGGCTTGTTGGCACCCCCCTGCTCTTCCTCGTGCGTGTGTAAACCCTGCGTGTAGTGTACGAGTACAACGGCCGCGGCAAGATCCCCTACGTGCCGTACCTCAGGGCGCCCTTCTACATCTGGGTCGGCCGCCGCCGAGACTGCCAGAGTAAGAAAGCATCTTATCCGTCCCGCCGCACCTTAGTCATCTGGAAGATCGCATTTTCTGCTCTCTGCTCCATGAGCTCGACATCTGTTGACAGCTGTTGGTGATACTTGACCCACAGCATGCTGAACCTGACAGTACATGCACCCCATCCACGTGTCCCCCTCTCTCTCTGCCCCACCATGCAGAGGTGAACCTGGTGCGCTTCCCTGCGCGCGCAGCGGACGATCTGGAGTTCAAGATCCCCCCCGGCTTCCCCCCGACGTTCCTGTACTCGCTGTCGTGGGAGGACCCCCGCGAGGATGACAAGGTGCTGGATATCAACGCCGCCGATACCATCCTCACGCTCACGTCGGGCGGCTGCAACGCGCTTGATCTCGTGCTGCAGGTACGCCAGAGACGTTGTTTCGGCCTAAGGGAAGAGAGAGGACCTTCTCCTATCCTGTGGTGGGAGGACCCCCACGAGGTGCTGAATGTCCTCACTCTGACGTCTGGCGGCTGCAGCGCGCTCAATCCCGTGCTGCGGGTTAGACAGTGTCCTTGCATGGAGGGCTTGGCTCTCTGCCTTGTGCCTCGTGCGTGCTAAGGGGTTCAGGGTTTAAGGGCGTCCTTGAAGCCTCCTTGACCTGGCAACTGGGTCCGAAACCGCATTGCCAGTCTCTCCATGGGGGAGGGAAGGTGATGGGCTTAGACGTCAATCCCTCATGGATCAGTCTCACCCAGTTTCCCTCATCCCCGTTCTCGTGATCTGGGCGCACAGGGAGCAGGCAAGGTGGTGGGCGTGGACATCAACCCAGCGCAGAGCTACCTGCTGGAGCTGAAGCGGGCAGCCATTCTGCGGCTGCCGTTTGAGGACGTGTGGAAGATGTTCGGCGAGGGCATCCACGAGAACTTCCCCGGGCTGCTGGAGAGGGAGCTCGTGCCGTTCCTCAGCCAGGGGGCCACTAACTTCTGGCGGCAGAAGAAGTACTACTTCCGGAACGGCATCTACTTCCATGGTGAGCTTGCAGTCGACGCATCAAGTAACCAAGTAACGCTAGTCAAAGAAGCGCTAGTTCAGAAACGGGAGCTCCGTAGTGGTGAGACAAAGAAGTAGAGTCGGACTATGGAACTGTTCAGGACACAATCAGGCATGTCAGTCAGGACCTCATCAGGCAAGGCATGCGAAATCCCAGGAGTCTGAAGGGGTGAGAACTGAATCAAGGTGGCTCTCAAGCCGGATGCACTAATGGAGGTCAAGTGGTGCTCGCTGTCGGTAGGTCGCGGGTGGATGAACCACGGCTTGCCATGCCCTTCTGTGCCTCGTTTTGAGTCAACTCACAACGGAGCTACTTACACACGGCTTGCCGTGCCTTTCTGTGTGTCAATTTGGTTATTTAAATTGGGCCCTGCCGCGCTCTGTCCCTGTTGCAGGTGGCATGGGTCGTCTCATCCGGGCCGTGCGCGTCCTCGCCAAGCTCACGAGAATGGTGCGTGCTGGGATGGTGTGAGCGAATGGGTGAGCCTTGCTTGCCTGCTATGTCGTGTGTGCTCACACGAATGGTGCATGTTGGGATGCTGCGGATGAATGAGTGGGAACGGCTTGCATGGTTTAGTGTTTTTGCTCGTGTGAATGGCTGTACTTCGCATGCGTGGTGTTCATTCACATGTATAACCACCAAAACCCACCGAACCCCCATTCGGTCAACCCCCTGGCCTGTTCCCAGTCTCACCCCTTTCACGTGCCCTCCTTCCCACTCTCCTTCCCACTCTCTTTCCCACTCTCCTTCCCACTCTCTTTCCCACTCTCCTTCCCACTCTCTTTCCCACTCTCTTTCCCACCCTCTTTCCCACCCTCTTTCCCACTCTCTTTCCCACTCTCTTTCCCACTCTCTTTCCCACTCTCTTTCCCACCCTCTTTCCCACCCTCTTTCCCACTCTCTTTCCCACTCTCTTTCCCACTCTCTTTCCCACTCTCTTTCCCACTCTCTTTCCCACTCTCTTTCCCACTCTCTTTCCCACTCTCTTTCCCACTCTCTTTCCCACTCTCTTTCCCACTCTCTTTCCCACTCTCTTTCCCACTCTCTTTCCCACTCTCTTTCCCACTCTCTTTCCCACTCTCTTTCCCACTCTCTTTCCCACTCTCTTTCCCACTCTCTTTCCCACTCTCTTTCCCACTCTCTTTCCCACTCTCTTTCCCACTCTCTTTCCCACTCTCTTTCCCACTCTCTTTCCCACTCTCTTTCCCACTCTCTTTCCCACTCTCTTTCCCACTCTCTTTCCCACTCTCTTTCCCACTCTCTTTCCCACTCTCTTTCCCACTCTCTTTCCCACTCTCTTTCCCACTCTCCTTCCCACCCTCCTTCCCACTCTCTTTCCCAGTCTCCTTCCCACCCTCCTTCTTAATCACCTTTGCTTCTCAGCACTGACATTAGTGTCGTCTGCTCTCCCTTCCTGCACTTGCTGCTCTCCCTTCCTGAGCTTGCTGCTCTCCCTTCCTGAACTTGCTGCTCCCTTATCTCCCTGTGCCTGCCTGTGAATCCATGCCTGCAGGAGAAGTGGATTGACAACCTCGTCAATGCGCCCTCTGTCGAGACTCAGTATGAGATCTGGTCAGTATTAAACAGGTGTTGAGTGCTGCAGTGCATACAGTGCAGTGCGGTATGATCTGTAAAGTGTGTTTCAGTGCGGTGCATTGTGGTCAGTGCGATGGTGTGCAGAACGGTGCGTTGAGGTGCGGCGTTGCCAGTGATATGCTGTGCTCCTTGTGCAAAATTAACCACCTCAAACCATGCACAAGACTTTGTTTCCGGACCCAAACATTCGCCTTCCCCTCGACGCACAATGCAGGACCAACACCACCGGGCGGTGGCTGACCCGGGCCATCTTCGGGTTCTTCACCAGCCGTGCCGTGCTCTTGTTCTGGTTCCAATACGCCCTCCTCTCTCTCTCCTCCCTCTCCCTCCCCCCCCCCCCCCCTCTCTCCCCTCCCTCCCTTCCCTCCTCTCCCATTCCCTTGCGCAATGCAGGACCAACACCATTGGTCGGTGGCTGACTCGGGCCAACATGTTTGCGCGCATCTTCGGCTTCTTCTTCACCAACCGCGTCGTGCTCTGGTTCTGCGCCGGCATCAGCCGCGGCCAGCTGCGCCTCATCCGCAAGGAGGACAACGTGTACCGCTACGTCGTGCGCTGCCTCGACTCGGTTGCTGAAACGACATCCCTGCGTGACAGGTGAGGCATAGACAGCAGCATGCAGGGTCGTGGGGCTTGAGTGTGTGGGGCAGAGGGATGAAATTGTGAGAGCAGGGGCCAGCTGTGCCTCATCCACAAGGAGGACAACGTGGACCGCTATGTCGTGCGCTGCCTCAACTCCGCGGCTGAGACTACGTCTCTCCGAGACAGGTGAGGTTTAGGCAGCAGGGGGCAGAGAGGTGGCCTTGACAGTGCAGGGGCCAGCTGCGCCTCATCCGCAAGGAGGACAACGTCTATCGATATGTGGTTCGCTGCTTGGACTCTGTTGCTGAGACTACTTCACTGCGCGACAGGTGAGGCCAGGGTGGCGTGCGCGCCAAGGTGTTTATTGCACGAGAGATGGCAGCCTTGAGAGCAGGGTCCAGCCCCAGCTCATACGCAAGGAGGACAACATGCACCGATATGTGGTTCGCTGCTTGGATTCGGTTGCTGAGACTACTTCCGTGCATGACAGGTAGAGACATTGACCGCAGAAACGAGATCGCTGCGTGACAGGTGAGGTAATGCTGGGACAGGGAGGAATCATTCGCTCATCATGAAAGGCTTCCACGGCTTCAAAGGTAAGGCATGAAAGTAGGGTTCACCTTCTGCCAGTCAAAACTTGAGTTGCCCTAATAGCACGCATTTCTTCACTATGCCACCCTCTCCCCCTTCACACACACCCCCTTTCTCCCTTCCCCCCCACTTCCCCCACAGCAACTACTTCTACCGCTGCTGCTTGACGGCCCAGTTCTCGCGCAACTGCTGCCCGCGCTTCCTGCAGGAGCCGTGCTTCAACAAGCTCAAGGTCAGTAGCAGGGCTCAGGGTTCGAGGGTGGGGGCGTGAGGCTAAGGTTGAACAGGTGAAGGGTGCAACTGCTGCCCGCGCTTCCTGCAGGAGCTATGCTTCAACAAGCTCAAGGTAAATGCAGGGCTCAGGGCTTTTGGGCTCAGAGGCGATAAGGCTCAACCCCATATCCATTTACGCAACCTCAGTTTCTGTCATTTCATTTTCCACCCTGTAAGCCTCCACAATATTCCACTTGCGCATGCCCCTTATTCCTCACAACTCGGTTCTCCTTCCCTCTCGCTCCTGCTCTGTGTTCCCCTTGTGCAACAGACGGAGCTTGCCGCCCGGGACTGCATGCTCATCTCGACGTCATTCTTCGTTGAGGAGCTGCGAGCGCGCATGTACACCAAGGTGAGTGTGGCGATATGCATGTACACCAAGGTGAGTGTGGCGATATGCATGTACACCAATGTGAGTGTGGCGATGTGCATGTACACGAAGGTGAGTGTGGCGATATGCATGTACACCAAGGTGAGTGTGGCGATGTGCATGTACACCAAGGTGAGTGGCGATTTGTATGTACACCAAGGTGAGTGTGGCGATTTGCATGTACACCAAGGTGAGTGTGGCGATATGGATGCACGCCCCGGTACTCAATGACATGCATACCACGGTACTCAATGGTGTGTATGCCAAGGTACTCAATGGTATGTATGCCAAGGTACTCGATGGCATGTATGCCAAGGTACTCAATGGTATGTATGCCAAGGTACTCAATGGCATGTATGCCAAGGTACTCAATGGCATGTATGCCAAGGTACTCAATGGTATGTATGCCAAGGTACTCAATGGTATGTATGCCAAGGTACTCAATGGTATGTATGCCAAGGTACTCAATGGTATGTATGCCAAGGTACTCAATGGCATGTATGCCAAGGTACTCAATGGCATGTATGCCAAGGTACTCAATGGCATGTATGCCAAGGTACTCAATGGCATGTATGCCATGGTAGTCAACGGCATGCATGCCAAGGTACTCAATGTCGTTCTGATGGACCATGTGGATTGGCTCGGGCAGAGGGCCTCCTCCATCCACGCTGCTCTCTGCCAAGTGCGTCGACCTCGACACCTGTGATGATCTCTTCACATCTTCCCCTCATGCTGCTCTCTTCCCCCCTCCATCTCTTCCCCCTCCTCCCATTGCAGGTCATTCTGATGGACCATGTGGACTGGCTTGGGCAGAGGGACATTGACACGCTCTGCGAAGCACTCAGGGACCAAGTCAAGGTGAGCAAGCACGCAAGGCCTTCTCAGCTGCTTAGAGTCCCTTGAGCACCCTTAAAAGCACCTGTCAAGGTGGTCATGTCGTTTGGTGCAGTGCATCTTCTGCTTGCCCATCAATGTCATCCCGTATCCATTCCTACTGTCTCGTTTTTCTCCATCTGCTTCATCCATGATACAGATGCCGGCTCTGTAACCTCGAGGTCGGGTCATCTGACGCAGTGCATCTTCCTCTACCTATCATTTACATTGTGCCTCTCACTGTACATCCCCTTTCCCCATGGACCTCTGCAGCCCGGAGGCCGTGTCATCTGGCGCAGTGCATCCCGCAACCCCGAGTATGCCAAGGACATTGAAAAGGCGGGATTCAAGGGTAAGTGTTGATTCTGCTGCTGCTTGTCTGGGTAACAAGCGGAAAAGCTGCTCTTGCAGGTTGAGCGGTTTGCTGCGTAGGATAGCAGGGTGGCAGGGAATGGTGAAAGGCTGGATCAGGAAGTACCTGAAAGGTCTTCACAACCCACCAAGTCCACATGAGACCACATGCATTGATGGACCCAACAAATGCTCAACGATGTTGACATGCCTGCACTCATGCTTGTCTTCCACCCCTCCCGCCCTCCTCCACTGCCAGTGGTGCAAGTGCGCTCGATCACCCAGCAGCAGTACATGGACCGAGTCAACATGTACGCAAGCTTCTATGTCGCCATCCGCAACGGCGGCCCTGAGAACATTCAGATCTTCAATGAGCCACCCAACCCCCTTGCTCTCACCAACGGTGCCAATGCTGCAGCTCCTGCCTTGAGCTCCTAATTTTTCAAGCCCCGCGCTTTTGACTCCAGCACTTTTATATATGGCTCAACGTGACTCGTCGTGTATTGTAAGGTACATGCTGTTGTAGATTGGGCATGTCTTTGGTTATTTTATAGTAGTAAACCTCTACAATTCTTTCTCACTTGTGATTCTCACAAGAAAGCCGCACCACACAGGTGATGTTTTAGAACAAGCTGACTTCCATGACGCGTACTGTATATATTCTCGTCGCAACGCAATTCAGAAATGACGGAAAGTGAGGGAAAAGGGGAACCTGCAGCTGCAGCTGGAGCTATTCGAGGTTTCAAGCGCCCCGGAATCCAATTCGTCAATCAAATCGAACCTTCGCACGCTGCCACGTACGTCGCCTGTAATGCTTCAGCCTATCATCCTTCCAGAAAGACGTCATCATCATTACCTTTGAAGCGCTTTGACACGTCAGTCTGGTTCACGAATGTCGCAACATCCTCGCACATCACGGATTCACAGGGTGCCCTTTTCCCGCGCAATCCCCTTCCAGCGCTGGAAGCAGGGCTGTATTCTGTCATTTCGTGTCGATAAGGGGAGCCTTCGGATCAGAAGCTTGGGAATTTGCCCCGCAGGCGCTAGACTGCTGTCAGCTGTATATTAGAGCGCATCACCTCACAGTCTTCGTCCCACAAGCTATCATAGTCCACTTAGTCGTCGTGGTTTAGCTCGATCTCCTCCTTCGCTACCCCGATCTTGGAAATTGTGCCACTTTAGGCCATTTCGGCTTGCAACTCTCAGTCATGGCGCTACCTCTCCGCCACCTGCATGCAACGATGCTCGGAAGCCGCATCAGCTCGACCATGCCGCTGCTCGCTGAACGAAGCCTTGCAAACCTCTCACCACCTGCTGCTGCCATGCCGATCACCCGCTGTCAAGCACCACCTTCCGCAGTCGCACCGTCGCCCACCGTCGCGCCGACATCCACGGTCACCCTGGCGACGGTATCGGCACCATCTTCCACGGGAAGCGCGGAACGAGTTGCGCTACCCTCGACGTCGACATCCTCCCCCGCGGTCCGCGCTTCCCGCGTCAAGCAACCAAGTGCGTAGTATTTATTTCTGGGCTCGTAACCTGGCGTCATGACTAAACGAGCTCGCATGTAATTCCGCCATTGCTCCGCTTTCCACCTTTCGTAGCGGTGTACCTTTCTTGTACTTTCCACCTTACTGCAGGGAAATTCTCCGCGCGCCGCCGCAACGCGGCATCCGCAAGCTCCACGCCACCGCGGCCCACGCACGCGCTGCGATCCGGCGCGGCCATGGCGGACTGCCTGATGTCGTACAGCCGCATGCTGCACCAAATGCCCGGGGGCCGCCGCGACCTCGTGGCGGCCGGCGCGGCCGTCTTGGCGCACGTGCTCGAGTCGCTGCGAACCCTGCTCGACACGAACCAGGTGCGTCGTAGCAGTCGAGGTGACTTTGGAGTCGAGGTGACTTTGGAGGCTCGACTCAAATTTGGTCTGCATGTCTTGCCCACCATTGCTAGGTTGTGTGATTTGTTTATCAGATGCGTGTTTGACGGCCTGCATAGACTGACAAGAGGGATGAACATGACGCTGTTATCGGCTCCTACATGAGGGGAGTTAATTTCACACGTGATTGTAACGAGACGCTCACCCGTGATTGGGAATGTTTTTCGAACCGATTTTTATGCTGCGCAGGTGAAGGGCGTGGAGGCTGAGCGACTGCTGTTCGAGGTCGAGAGGGACCTGGGCCGCCTGCAGTTCGAGCTCGCCGTAGCGCCCGAGGCCTTCCCCGTACAGGCAGTGCGCCTGCAGTGCGCGCACGCCGCCCGCCTGCTCCGCTCCGTGTGAACTAAATGGGGGAAACTACAGCAAGCCAAGCCAAGATCACAGCTAGCTGCATCAGGAAAAGCAGAATGGTGCAGAAGAGGCGAACACATGCATGCTACTTCCTTCCCCTGTTTGTGTAGAACTACCATGTACAAATTATGTATATACTTGCAAGGCAAATTATGTGTATACCGCGGCCCAAATTGCGAGGCGCGACCTTCAAGCGCACTGCGTTTGAGAGTCACGTTCTCGTGGGTGTAGATGGGGGTAACGTGACTCGCGTCACTCGGGGGTGTCTTTCAAGCTCAGTGCAGAACATATTTTGGGACACCAAATGCATCGCGTTTTTTAGCCGTCCAATATTTGTCGATTTTCATCTGACGGCGCGCAAGTAAACAGCTTCCCCCAATCAATCGAAATATAATCTCAGCCGTCACACTGCCTGCTTGCGAATCGGACGGTCTACGACAAATTGCGAACGCGAGATGAAATACCCTCACAATTTTTCTGCGTATTTCGTCCAGGCCGAGGCTCACAGTTCACACGCAGTGCGTATGCTCCAGCCGGATATATCAAGTTTGATTGAGGACTACACTTACCGCCCCAACCTCAATGTCTCGTGTAATAATTCATTGTCAAGTATCGCAAAGGCGTAGTGTTACAAAATCCCATGAACAGCGAGAAACCTAAACACGAAACGTATGTGCATCTAACCAAATATGCAATGAACAAAATAATCATATTTACCCGATTGATATGCAATTCCTAACAATTTGACAGCTTGAAACCTTCCACTCGATATCACCCGCTTACAAACCCCTCAAGGTCAAGCCGAGGATCCCCCTCCTCAATCATATCATCCTCGTTCATCAGGAACCCAAACTCATTCTCTTTCTTGCTCACTGCCCCTGAGCTGCGTCTCAACCGCGAATCCTCCTCCTCATTAATGCTTGACGTCCGCCGCGACAGCGGCTCACCCTCCGACCCACTCCCCCTTCTCCCTGACAAGCTCCTTCCGCTATCCCTCACACCAACTTCCTCTCCTCCCTTGCTGCTGCTTCGGGAGATCGACGAGTCTGTCTTCTTGAGTGGAGCAGGATCGTACGAACTCGAGGGCTCTTCAGTGGGCGATCCCAGGATAGCAGCGTTCGGGTCATCTATGTCATGCCGAATGCTTACAACCGTCTCACCCTTAATTCTTGAGGCGGCGGCGGCAGCAGCAGCAGCCGCCGCAGCGGCTGCAGCTGCCGCAGCCGCCGCTGCCGCTGCAGCTGCTCCTGCTGGCGTGTCTGTAGATTCCGACCCGCTTGCTGCTGCAGCAGCACCTGCAGAGCCTACACCTGCTACCCCACTGCCCAACCCAGCAACAGAACCATCAACTGCTGTAGCAGACCCGCCAGCAGCACCTGTAGTTGCAGCTGTAGCAGCACCGGCAGCACCAGCAGCAGCAGCGCCAGGGGTGATGGAGGCAAAGAGGTTGGCAAAGCGGCGCTCCGAGGCCGTGGCTTCTGCAGTGAGAAGACCCGTGCGGCCCGAGCTGAAGGTCTGCCCCATGCGCCGCGCGTTCTCCATCTCCTTGCCTGATGGTGGGGATGGGGGCGAAGAGGGGAGAGGGGGGGAGAGTGAGTGGGAGGAAACAGGGGGGAAGAGGAAGAAAGACATGTGCGGCTCGAGCTGAAAGCAGCTTTGAAAGAGAACAGAGACAGGGAGGGAGACTAATACCTGCTGGAACGAATGTTCGAGTGCGGTAGTGTTGGGGCTTGTCCTGCGACCCATCACTGTACAGCACATAGTCATGGTACGTGGGCGCGAACTGGTGAACCGTGTCGCTGACCACATCCCCCATATTGACAGAATGCTTAAACGCCGAAATCAGCGCGCTCTTCTGCTCCTCTGTCATGTTCGCCAGGCCCAGCCCTGCCAGCCCGAACCCCTGGAAATCCATGGGCCCGGCCCCTGCAGTGCCCACGTTCGCGACCATGTAGGGCTTGACTGGGAAAGCAATCATGAACCCGAGCGCGCCTAGCGCCATCTCGAAGCAGATGATGACGTTTTGCAGGTCCGCTGCTCCCTCTGGGCTGGCCGTGAAATGGGCGATGAGGAAAATGATAACGCCCTGAACGATGGGGATGTAGAAGGGTGGGGAGGGACGGGGAAACGGGAGAAATGATGGCGAGATGGGTGCGAAATGAGCGATGAAGACAAGGGGGCAGGGGGAATGGAGAAAGCGGGAAGACACACACAATTAGGAATACGTAAAAAACAATCAGTTAAAGAAAATAGGAACTTGGAAATGCGGATGAAGGAGAGAGAGAGGGAGGAAGGAAACGAGGGGGCTGGCCACTACACACCTGGCAGTTTGTCAGGAAAACGACTGCTTCAATCATGAGGAACTTGGGGATGGGGTTGAGGGAGAAAGGAGGGTGAAACTAAAAGAAAGGGGAGGGAGGGGGGGGGGGAAGGGGGGAGAGGGAAGACGCACCTGCCAGTAGGTGAGGAAGACGACGGCCTTGATCATGAGAAACTTGGGGATGGGGTTGAAGGAGTGCAGGAGGTCCTTGCAGGCGACGTAGAAGAGGATGAGCGCGTAGATGGCGACGGAGTAGGAGAGCATGTACACGCACGTGATGTACAGGTACGAGTCGAACGCGCTGAAGTTGCCGTCGTTGTACAGCCCGTACGAGTACAGGATGAGGGAAAGCGCGGCTAAGATGGGCTTGAGGAACACGAACTGCAGACATCCCTGCTTGCAGCGACGGATGAACCGCCTGGTTAAGAGAAGAGGGGGGAGAGTGGGGAATGTGAATCAGAGTTGGTTATGGTAGGCCTGAGAACGATTCGGTGGTTGGGGCGGACGTTGTTGCGTGGGTGAAGGAGGGGAAAAGGGACTGAATGAAAGCACCTTTCGGCGCGAACAGTCTACTCATGAAACCAACCAACGGCGCGCTTGCGGGCAGCAGCTTACCCGTGAAGTAAACAAGAGGCATGGCGGGTGTGGAGGGAGGGAATGGAGGCATTTTGCTGGAGGAAGAAGAGCTGAGCATGCAACACCGGCATGGAAACAGAGGCTTACCCGTCAAGAGGCATGGCGGGCAGGCAGCAAGTGCCAAGGACGATGGACGGCTTGAGCACGCGGCCGGCGAGAGACGTCACGACCACACCGGGACCCCCCACCCAAGCGAGACACAGCGACAGGAAGTTGTAGATCACCCACGCCTCGTACCTGGGGTTGATATTAACGGGTATGACATCAGGTCAAAGAAGTGGGGGGTTCAGTCGAGAGAGAATGGAAGGAGAGGAATCCGCGAGTAATACCGCATCTTCGGAATTTGCTGAGGATGGGAACCGAGATTCGGCTGGGAAGTGATTGACGGCGAAGTGACGAACAATGGTTTGCGACGGGCAAACAAAGGATGGATTGACTTACACGTCGCGGATGGTGTTGAAATACATCGCGTACTCGCTAAAAGCCAGAGCGAAGAACGACATGGTTGCATACACCTGCGGAAGTCAACAAAAGTCCCATCATATAAGCCGTTAGCGCGAGTAGGAGGGAAACAAATAACATATATATCTCCCACGGGATCTTTAAAAAACCAATAAGACATAGAGGTTGCTAACACTTACCGGAACCATGAAGATGATTCGGACGATGTACCGTTGAAAGGTGGGCTCCGTATAATTTTGTAGATGCTGAATCATATGCCGTACTGATAGAAAAACGGCTACGAGTGTGCATACTAGGGCTATCAATACCCCTACAAACCATAGTACCCCGTCCATTGCCAGATACTGAAAGCTTATATGGCGCTAACAGGAAACGTGATGGATAGTGAAGAGGAATGACTGGATTAAGAAGGTCCTTCGCGTGAACTAAGAGGTTGAGTCGACAATGGCGAATATGGCTAGAAACTAACGTGCACACTTCATCTCGGGTTTACCCTAAACTCAGAACATGAGAGAAGATCCGTGAAGTTCAGACTTTAGCTGAAGGTTAGCTTGAGAAGCGAAACCAGCACCTGGCGGCGGCCTAAGCAACCTCAACGAAGAACAAGCTCGCTGAATACTGCTTGACAGCGGATGGTCTGAGAAGTAGCAAAATCTCTGAGGCTTCTAAATTAGGTTCACACAGTACCCAGCAGAATACACATCAATCGACAGCGCCAGACGAGAGGGATTGACAGCAACCTGTGATTTCCAAGACAGGGAAGCTAAGGATTCAAGCAAGACTAGGGTGGCTGAAATGGGAATGGCACAATGGGGTGGGGGGGAGGTAGGGAGGGATGCCAGGGGGAGGGACATCAGGGAGAAATACTCATCGGATGAAGGGATTTGAAGGCTGGGGGCGACACGTCTGAGGCTGTCCCGTAGCTATCCCGAAGCTCCCCTCGATCTTGTCGAGGCATTTTTTAGGTTCCGGTCAGAGCGGTGTGGCAGGCGCTCGCGGTGGGTCGCGGCGATAGGCAGGATGACGACTCCGGAAGGCGCGTTGATTGGAACGCGGAGCCCAAATGCACGTAACCCCACACCGTTTGCGAACGAATGGCGAAGAATGGATTCGCTCATTTGGTTGAACAGCGCACGAAATTTCAATCTGGAGGTTGTCGCAGAAGTCGGCACAGGGAACCAATGGTCAGAGATCAAGGGGAGGGCAATTCGTCCAAACCAAGCGAAGGTGGGTTGTTGGGATGAGTTTCATGTGACCTGAACAGCGAACCTAGGTTGCACCGCACCACATCCGCCAAGTTGACCGTTGTGAATGCCCCACATAGGACCTCAACATAACTGTTATGAATGAACAAGCAGAGTAGCGCGGAAATGAATAACGAAGTGTTCACTCAATGAATGATGATACAAGGAATGGCAAGCCAAGATATAGGAACACCAGAGCTAGTCTAACCATGCGATGGGAAGGTTCGGGAAGGAGATCGAAGGGTCTCGAAGTGACGAAACGAGGCCTGGAGAACTCCCGAAGGTCGAATCGGAAGGTCTGGAAAAGCCGAGGCGGTTCTGTCAGAAGGTCTGGAACAGTCCCGAGGCTTCATGTTTGTTCGAGCGTACGCGATAGCAGTACCGCTCGGTAAGGAATGGAAAATTCCTTACACCACCCCCCCCCCCTTAGCGAAGGTGATCTATATCAGCCACGTGCTTGCGGTCCAAATAATTCGCAAGTATCGAAGGTGACTGTATCTGGTCCGAGGGTACCCACGTGTCGTCCTCACTGGTACGATTGGTCCATCGTATCAGAAAGTCAACGTGTCGTCCTTGACCGTCGATACGAATCCGATGGCTCAAGATTTTCGAAGGCTCGATGGTCGTCTCGGCTGGTGGCCGTACGTCTGGAACCAATCGCTGTCGAGCGATGTCCGACGTGTCAGGAACGAAAGGTCGCAACAGACTCACGTGGAATTTGTTGTGAATTCGCCAGTCAGCAGGTAGGCGCAACTGGGCGGTCACCGGCGTTACCATCTTCACGATCTTGAACGGGCCACAGAAACGTGGTCGTAATTTCGTCGGTAATGGTAGTCGCAAATTCTTGGTGTCCAGAAGGACTAGTTGCCCTGTCGTCATCGTAATATCCCGTCGATGTAAATCCGCATACCGTCGGGCAATTTCGTTCGCCTTGCGAATAAGTTCGACAGCTTTGTCTCGGACAGTCTGTAGTTCTTCGACGAACTGCTGCGATCGTAGTACTTGACTCTCAACGTTGGTGGAGATCGGCACTGTAGGGTCCATTCCGTAATTGAGATAAAACGGGGAGTGATTAGTCGTAGCCGAGGGCGCGTTGTTGTAGGAAAATTCCAACATGGGCAGCACGTCCTCCCATTTGTTTCGGTTGGGGCAGTTTGTCCGAATTAGATGCTCCATCGTTTGATTTGTCCTTTCCGTCTGGCCGTCCGTTTGTGGATGATACGCGGATGAGAACTGTAGACGCGTGCCGTACCGAGCCCACGTGTCCTGCCAGAATTTGGACGTGAACTTCGGATATCGATCGCTAATGATTGCTGCTGGTATCCCGTGTAGTCGAACGACGGTCGAGATGAACAGGCGCGCTGTTTCTTCGGCTGTGATGGTTGTACGACATGGTGCGAAATGCGCCATTCTGGGCGACTAGTACTGCTGCGAGTTGGGCAGATGGTCCGGAAAGGGCGTCGGCGATATTGTTGGCGCCCTTTTTGTACGTGATCTTGTACGTGAAATTCGACTCCAGATAGTCCAGCCAGCGTATCTGCCGCGGGTTGAGATTCGGCTGCGCCCTCATGTACTGTAGTGATTTGTGATCGGTTCGCACCGTCACGTCTGCTCCAGTCAGGTAGCACCTCCAGATTTTGAACGCGTGGACGATCGCCAGCATCTCCTTGTCGTGTACTGGGTAGTTGCGCTCAGCAGATTGCATTTTCCGAGACTCGTACGCGATTGGTTGAAGCCCGTTGCCGAAATCCGGCATGAGCACTGCTCCGATGGCGATGTCACTTGCGTCGGTGATGACTTCGAAGGGCCGTTCCGGGTCAGCGATGCGAAGTACCGGTGGCGACATTAAAAGAGTTTTTAATGCCTCAAACGCAGCTTGTTGCTTCTCCCCCCACTCGTAAAAAGTTCCCTTCTGCAGTAGGTCGGTTAGGGGTCCAGTTAACTCCGCCATGTTGGGTATAAACCTCCGCACGTAATTCACGAAACCCAAAAATGATTGCAGCTGCTGCAGATTTGTTGGCGGTTGCCACTCTTGAATAGCCCAGAGTTTTTTCGGGTCTATTCGAATCCCCTCCGTGGAGATCTTGTGTCCCAGGAACTCCAGTTCTTGTTTTAAAAACTCGCACTTGGAGCCCTTGGTGATGAGTCGATGCTGCTGCAACCGCTGAAAAACCGCTTCCAAATCTTGTAAATGCTGCTCCCGGGTCTTGCTGTAGATCAGGATGTCGTCCAAGTAAATTATCACGCATTTGTCGAGTAGATCGCGGAATACCCCATTCATGGTGAGTTGAAACGTCGAGGGGGCGTTCGTTAATCCAAACGGCATCACCGTGTATTCGTAACTCCCATAGCGAGTACGAAACGCGGTCTTGTGGCAGTCGTCAGCGAACACTCGAATTTGATGGTAACCGCCACGAAGGTCGATCTTCGAAAAGTAACGAGCTCCGCGAAGGTTGTCGATCAGTTCGTCCGTTCGTGGGATTGGGTAGCGCGATTTAATCGTTACCCGATTAAGGGCACGATAATCCGTACACATGCGAAGTCCACCGTCCTTTTTTGGTGTGAACAGGATCGGTGCTGCGAACGGGGACGTGCTCGGCCGAATGAACCCTTTCGCCAGCAGGTAGTCCAACTGGTTTCGTAACTCCTGTAGCTCCGGCTGAGTCAGGCGCCATTGCGTGCGTATAGTAGGCTGCGTGCCGGGCTCCAGCTCGATTTTGTGGTCCTGGGGTCGTTCGGGTGGCAGTCCACTTGGCAAGTCGTCCGGGAAGATCTCAGGATATTCTCGAATGATTTTCGCCAAGTCATCCGGGACCGAGGCGCAGAGTTTGTTGATGTCGGTCGCCTCATTCTGCTCCGTCGATTCGGTTAGATGGACGGCGTATAAATCCGCTCCATTCTTGACCGCTCGATTGAGGCACACCGCGTTGACTCGTGTCGATGTTGTCTCTGCTTCCGGCCACGTGGGTAATTTTCGCCAACCTTTGTCGCACTTCACTGTGCACTCGCCTGTTGTCCAATCGATCTGCGGGTTGAATCGTCGCAGCCAATCGCGTCCCAATAGCACGTCGTAGCCGTCGAGCGTTGTCGCCAGCATCGGCGCGCTGAAACCAAAATCATCGCCACACTTCATTCGAACGACAGGTACTTTGTCGCGTATCGCCAGCGGGGTGCCGTCCACCAATCGTGCGTCGATTTCGGGTAGACACCGCTCCAGCGTCAGGTGTAGTCGTCGTGCTGTCTCTCGATTTATCAGGCTATGACTCGCACCTCCGTCGATGAATATTTTTATTTTTCTTCCATGAAGTCGTCCTTCCGCCAGTACAGGGTGGTCCACTGGGTCATCCTCCTTTTTCAGCCGGGAGCGGTTGATAGCATGTATCGGAACCACTACTCGGTGGGGATGCTGTTTTTCAGGCGATGAGACAGGGTCAGTAGGGGGCCCGACCGCTACTGACGCTTGGCGTTTCCCGACCTGTCCTCGTCGTTCTTCTTTATCTGCTTCTTTCGGGGGCAATCGTAAGATTGGTGACCCGGCTGGTGGCAGTTGAAACATTGTCCCTTGCGAAAATCGTCCATGTGCTCCTTCGCCACTATGCCGTGAATCGTGGGCCGTGGATTCTGGCCACGAAAACGATTTCCCTCCCGGGAACCCGCTCTCGCATACGTCCGATGTGCGTCGAAATTATCTGCGATCCGGACAGCTTCGTGAAACGTCGCCGGCAGTCGCAGTCGGACCTCGCATTTAATGTCCTGCTTCAAGCCCGAAATGAATCGAGCTTTCTTCTCGGAGTCATGCATGTCGGTGATTTGATCGCATAACGCCATGAAGACCGACGCGTAATCCTGGACAGAACTCCACTGGCGCCAGTTGTCCAGCTTCGTGCGTGCGTTGTCCGAGGCGGATATGGGCTCGAACCGTTCACGCAGAGCTGTACCCCACGCCTTCCACGTGCGAATCTTGGTCGATCCAAAAATCGCGGTTGACCCTTGGGCAGTAGACCCAAAGTTTCCGAAAAACCCCTGTGTGTCGCCTACCGAAAACTCCCCCTCCTGTAGAGTATAGCGCCACCAATCTAGCGCAGGTCCCCGCAGTAGTGATACAGCCAGTCGAATTTTTAACTCGTCAGCAGTGATCCCAGCGGCATTAAAATAAAGTTCTGCCGAAAATAACCAGCCCGTAACAGTAGTATTCTTATCTGTGGGATTGAACGGGGGCGGCATTGTCGGTTTGATTGTCGCTGTCGTCACGATCGGCATAAACGCCGGTGCGGCTACAGTAGCGGCTGCTTCTGACCGAGCGGCTGCTGCTGCTGCTGCTGCTGCTGCTGCTTCGGCTGCTGCTCGTGCTGCCACGTCAGCTGCTGCGGCGGCTTCACTGTCCTTGCGCTCCTGTGACACCTCACGTGCGATTTTGTCCAAGACGGTTTCGACACGTCCGGTGCTGGCGACCTCCTCTTGGGCGGCAATTTTCTGACGCGAATCCTCTCGCGCCTGGCGTAACTCAGCAACTTCCGCACGAAGTCGCTCGTTGTCCTCCAGCACTGTAGCCATGCGCGTGTTCATGGCGTTGAACTGCTCCCGAAGCTCGTTGAACTGAGCTTGGTCCATTTGGCGAAT